ATTTGATGTTGATGAACTACTTTAGCTTTTGATTTTCTGGGAAACTCCTTATCTCTCCAGTTCTGAGTGATAACCTTGCCAGATGAAGTATTCTTGGTTGTAGGTTTTTTCCTTTCAGTACTTTGAATATATTGTGCCACTCCCTTCTGGACTGTAAAGTTACTCCTGAAAAACCAGCTGGTCATTGTGTGGGGGTTCCCTTGTACATAACTAGTTGCTTTTATCTTACTGCTTTTAAGATTCTCTTTAACTGTTAACACTTTGCTTATTATATGTCTTGGCATGGGCCTTTTTGGGTTCGTCTTGTTTGAAGCTCTCCGTGCTTCCTGAACTTGGTCTGTTTCTTCCAGGTTAGGGATGTTTCACCCATTATTTCTTCCAATAGAGTTTCTTTTCCTTTTTCTCTTCTCCTACTGGGATGCTTTTAATATGAATGTTAGTATATTTGATGTTCCATGGGTCTTTTAAATAATCCTCATATTTTTAAAATTCTTTTTTCTTTTTGCTGTCATAGGTGATTACTGTTTGTCTCCCAGATCACTGACCCATTCTTCTGCTTCATTTAATCTGCTGTTGATTCCCTCTTGTGTGTTTTTCATTTTAGTTATTGTATCCTTTAGTTCTGATGATTCTTTTTTATACTTTCTGTCTTTGTTGAAGTTCTTATCGTGTTTATCCATTCTCCTCCTGATTTCAGTGAGCCTCTTTATGACCATCGCTTTAAACTCTTTATCTGATAGATTGGTTATGTCTGTTTCATGTAGTTCTTCTTGGGTTTTGTCTTGTTCTTTCTTTCTTTTTTTTTTTTTAAACCTAAGCAGGCTTTTTATTATGTATATACAAACTGGTTTTAAAATTTACATGAAAAGGCAAATGACCTATAATTGTCAAAACAATTTTAAAAGGAAAAACAAAGTTGTCGAATGTCTTGTTCTTTCATTTGGAATATATTCCTTTATCTCTTCATTTTGTGTTAACTTTCTGTGTTTGTTTCTGTGTGTTAGGTAGACCAGTTACATCTCCCAGTTTTGAAGGAGTGGGTTTATGCAGAAGGTGTCCTCTGGGGCCCAGTAGTGTAAACTTTAGTCACTCAAGCCCTTGTGTTGGCAGTGTGAACTCTTCTCTTGTAGCTGGGTCAGGATTGGCAGACTCACTAGTTTATGGGACTGTCTCAACATGGTTGTCTGTGAGGCTTGGCTATGACCACTGTAGACATGCTGTTGAGTGGGGTTGGCTCCTAACCCATGTTGCCAAGCATTCTGGCTGTGACTCCTGCAGGCATTCTGGTGCGCTGGGTTGGATCCCCGCATAGCTAGCTGAGAGGCCTGGCTATGACAACTGTAGGAGTGCTGATGGGTGGGATAGGTTTCTGATGCAGCTGGCTGTGAGGTACGGCTATGATTGTTGCAGATGCTCTAGTGTGCAGGGGTGGCTCCCTAGGTTGGGGTCACTAATGCTAGCTGAGGCCACCAGCATGTTTTGTGGGGCAAGGAGCCACTTGGGAGGGAATGCTGGTTTGGGGTAGGCAGTTTGGCAGTGTAAGTCCACAGGCAAATGTTAGCATTAGGTGAATGGTGCTAGCCCACTAGATAGCGTCAGAAATGGTTCCTGCCAGCACTTCCATCCCCAGAGAACATTCCAGCAGATCCCTCTCTCTCTGATATGCACCCTAAGGTTAGTTGATATATCTCCTTCTCTGTTAACCCAGGCACTTTTGAAACTGCTGCTTCTGTGCTGGGACTTGGAGCAAGTGAGTTATGTGTGTGCCCCTTAAGTACCCCCAGATCCAAGCCCCACTGATTTTCAAAGCCAGACATCATGGGCGCTTATCTTTCTGATGCAGATCCCCTGAGCTGTGGAGCTTAATGTGTGGCCTGGAACCCTCCATCCTCAGGGAGGGCCCTCGTTGGTTTAGAAATCCCTTTTTTCTGTGGCTCAATGAACCAGGAGTGTAGTTCTTAACTAAACAACATCTCTGCCCCTCCTACCAGCTCTTTGTGGATTTTTTTTTATATCCTTAGTTGTGTATGATCTGTTCTGCTATTCTTCAGTTTGTTCTCAGAGATGGTTGTCTGTAAGTAGTTGTAGCTTTTGGTGTATTCATGGGAGGGGGTGAGCTCAGTATCTTCCTTTTCCAGTGTCTTGATCCTCTCCTATTTTTCCTTTTTTTTTTTTTCATGGTAAAGTGATATTACTATCAACTACAAAATCAGAAGTTTGTGAGACTTAAAATTTCTAGACTTCCGTTCCATCCTAACTATATAGATCTTGTCTACCATTTCTGTCCCGTGCAGTATTTTCCTTCCAATATAAGGTAAACTGGCAGTGTATCGTACTTCTGGAGACTGCTGTAGAATGGAATCTTCTTCTGCAACAATGGTACAATTCTCCCAAGTTTGATAATTACTGTTTGCTTTTACTTAGGGCTATAATAAATGTTGCATTTTAAAATCCCTTGCACTTTTAGAGCAGTCTAAGAATGTTATCCTTTACACTTGGTTTTAAATGAAAATATCAGCAGATAGAGAATATGTTCTAAGAATATTTATATTCCTCTAAGCTCAAAGGCTTAAATCTTTCATTATTAATAGCTATCAGCTGGTCTTATGTTTCTTATTCTACCTATAGCAGTTTGTTAGACATCATGATATAGGTAGGAGTTTAATAGATAAGAGCAATTGTAATCATCCCAAGGGGTATTTGAGGAATGAGAAAAGATGAAAGACAATGACATCTGAAGGTTTGTCTAAAGAGGAGATAACAAAGAAATGCTCAGCAAGGTAGGAGGGAAACCAGGGATGTATTTTAATAGAAGCAAAGGAAGAATTTCAAAAAGATTGTTGACTTCTTTGGGTGCCATATGATGAGAACAGACAATAATTTATTGAATTTTTCAATTAAGAGGTCATTGATGACCTTTGCCAGAGGATTTTCAGTGAAGCATAGAAATGAATTCCAGTTTGCAATGGATTAAAAGGTAAACAGGAAATCAATATATAAAAACAGCTAAGATGGACTTGTAACTCATCTAAAGGAAAAGAGGTGATGCCAGAGAAGAGAGCAATATTCAGAAGAAGCTATGATTTTACAAAGATAAGAGACTTGGAGTGTACTTTTAGGCTTTGGGGAAAAAGCCAGAAGATAGAGGATAATTAAAAATAGAGAAGAATGATAATAATGAAATAAGCTTCTAGGAAGGGTCGATGGAGGGTTAGCCTTGAGCAAGATTCTTCTGTTTTAGGAAGAAAGAAAACAAAGGTGGTCACCAAATATTGGTATGTAAACAGAAAGTTTTATAAGTTTGACCTTATAAAATACAAGGTCAAACTATATGTTACTAAGAAATTATTATTGGAAAATAGACCAGCTAGCATTTGAGTGGTTACTATATGCTGTGAACATTGAGTTTTAGAAAGAATACCTCATTTAATTTCATCATACAGTTCTATGAGGAAAGTATTATCACTGCTTCTCAATCTTAGAAAGTGAAGCTTAATAAGTTTAATTAACCTAAGGTCATGAAAACATTAAGTATTATATTAGAACTAGACATTTGAACCTAGAGAGTTCTAACAGGCACTTAAACTCTTAACCACAGTTGTGCTGAGTCAGGGGGTGTTGAAAAGACTGCAGAATATTTGGCAGAATGCAACAAAGAAATTATCATGGATATGTGAAAGAATTGTCAGTTGGAAATGTATACAACCATAGCTGGAGACCATAAATCAATGCTGGCATACATCTGTGCATCTGAGTTGATTATTTCTAGTAGCAGTTAGCAGCCCAAGTGAATAATCATATTAGGGTAGGAATTTTTTTCATTCCGAACTGGGCAGATGAGAATATTAAGGCATAGCCTAGAAAAAAATTCCTAAATTCTGAGAATAAAAAGAAATCTCTGTAAGACTCCTACAGAAAATACAGTAATATGGGGGAAAAAAAGAATCAGACTAGCATGAGACATTTATAAAACTGGAAGGTAGAAAGCAATAGAATAGCATCTATAGATTACTGAGTAGAAGAGAACTGCAACCAAGAGCTCTATACCTGTCAAAGAAAATGGAAGACATTTGGAAATAAAAACTAGAGTGTATCATTCACCTGAAAAAAAAAAAATACTTGAAACCTTAAGATAGAAGAAAGATAGAAAGTAAGTGAGCAATTAAAAGAATAAGGAGAGACTCAGTGAACATGTAAGTGCGAAGTAAGGTTTCCTGAAACAGAAAATACATAACACAAGGTAATTTTAATAAGATTGCAGAACAAACATAATGAAGTATTTCAGCAAAGTTTAGGATTAATGAGAAGGAAGGAGGGAAGTTAAATGATTTTTAAAATCTTATTGATGTGGACTGTTAGTAGAGAATTAGAACATTTTTATGGGAGAAAGAGCCTTTTAAGTTTCTATGTTATGTAACTAAGCACTACTGGATAAAGAACATTTTAGAGTAACAAATAGCACATCATGTAAGAAAGGTAACGGTCATAAGCCTAAATACATCAAACAACATAGCAACTAAAATGTGGAACAAAAACTATTAGAAATGCAAGGAGAGCTTAAAATACAATATAGTGAACGAGGTCAGTGTATTTGTCTCAAGAGGATGAACTTGTAGAAAAAATGATGTAAGGACATAGAGGGATTGAATCAATAAATATAAAAACACACATCCCTCAGAGAATAATATTTTTCTGTATTCCAGGGAACATCAACAAAAATCAAAGGTTTGAAAACCTTAACAAATTTTGAAAAAATAACAGATTTTACAGAGTGCTATAAAATCTCTGGTCAGAAGCCAATAAAATTAGAAATATATAATGATAAATAACTAAAACCTTAGGTACCTTAAACTTAAGAAACATTCTATTTGACATGACTAAAATCAAAGAAGAGATCAAAAAATAAAACTGCAGGTCGCTAGGGGCTCTGGGGACTCCGACGCACCTGAGCTGCGCAGCGTTCGGGGTTTCGCCTTTGCAGGACTTTCGTTTTTGCCAGCGCCGAGCTCACCCGGTTCTCCCACATCTGTGCGACCATGTTCGTTCCCTGCGGAGAATCGGTCCCCGACCTCGCGGGCTACACCTTCCTAATGCCAGCAGTATCTGTTGGAAATGTTGGCCAGCTTGCAATGGATTTGATTATTTCTACACTAAATATGTGTAAGATCGGTTACTTCTATACTGATTGTCTTGTGCCGATGGTTGGAAACAATCCATATGCAACTGCAGAAGAAAATTCAACAGAACTCAGTAAAAATGCTGAAATATATGCATTGCCTTCGAAGAAGCTGGTGGCTCTTCAGTTAAGATCCATTTTTATTAAGTATAAATCAAAACCATTCTGTGAAAAACTGCTTTCCTGGGTGAAAAGTAGTAACTGTGCCAAAGTCATTGTTCTTTCAAGCAGTCATTCATATCACCGGAATGATCTACAGCTTCGCAGTACTCCCTTCAGGTACCTACTCACACCTTGTGTGGAAAAATGTATTCAAACTAAAATAATGAGCCTTAACTGGGAAGAAATGGAAAAAAGCCCATGCATTCCTGAAATAGATGATTCTGAGTTTTGTATTCGTATTCCTGGAGGAGGTATCACAAAAATACTCTATGATGAAGGCTGTTCTAAAGAAATTGCAATGGTCGTTCTGCTGAAATTTGTTTCAGAAGGAGACAATATCCCAGATGCATTAGGTCTTGTTGAGTATCTTAACGAATGGCTTCAGATACTCAAACCATGTTGTGATGACCCCACAGCATCTGCCTTGCGGTGGAAAATGCCAAGTTCGTGGAGATTACTCTTTGGGCAGTGGTCTTCCCCCTGCACTTTTTTGACCTTTTTTCAGTTTTATACCTTATGTCCCAAGATACTTATTACCAACACAACTATTAACTATATAGAAAGTTACATTATGTAAGAATGTATTAGAAAATAAATCTTTGATTTTCACAAAAAAATCTCAAAGAAAATGGATTAACAAAAAGTTTTTTTGCCATGTTTTCTCTATATACAACAAATGTAAATTTTGTACAATAAAATATTTCCTAAGTAAAAAATAAATAAATAAATAAATAAAACTGCAAACTAGGGAACAATGAAAAATACTTTTTATTCTCAAACTATGTACAACCTGTACTCAGAGGAAAAACTCTAGCCTTAAATTCTTTCTTAATTAAAGAGGAAATCAGAAAAGCAAAAGAACTAAGTAGTGCTCTTATTTTTTTTTAAGTAGTCCTCTTAAATTCAAACAAAAAAATTAATCAAAAGCAACTAGTGAGAAGGAATTAAGATAAAAGGCTGCATCATGGACCTAGACATCACAAATGATACACAGAAATTTCTAAACTGATCCCTATGCAAATTCCGATATCCAGTGTGTTAGAGATCAGTATGTATGCAAGTGGAGGTAGCATATAAATTCTCTGAAGATAATTTTGGCCCTGGTCTTTTACACCTACTCCCTGTTACTTATCTGCTTCAGATTCCTATATGGAGGTAAGTGGTTAACATGAGTGGATGTTCAGCTATATAGGGTTCTGTTGTAGCACAATCATGAGGTTGAAAGGGAGCTTTACCTCTAATTGATACTCTCTCCTCTAATGACAGTTCCCCTGGGAGGAGATTTATGAATCTTTGGAATGCTAAGTCACTAAGAAAAAAATCTCATTTAGAGAAGACAAGACCCCAAAACATAGCTAGATTACATCTTTATGCAGTAATGGGAATTGTAGAACAGATAGGTATAAATATATTGTATTTATTTTAAGATTTCTTTTTATTTTCTTTCTTCATCATGCCACTCTGGAAAACTGTCATTGTCAACAATCTCTGAGGCTTAATAAAATAGATTTGTTGCAATTTAAAGTAGTAATTTCATCATTTAATATTATAAATTTTGGTAAATCTTTATATTCCTATTGGTATTCACTGTGTATTTTAGGTTTTCCTTACCTTTGTCTCTCAGAACTGTCACTGACTGATCGTTATAGGATCAACGTTTGTTTCTGTTAATCAACAGAATCTCACTCCATTTGAATTAATAGCAATAGTATATTGAATTGCTTGATTTGTGGAGGTGTTGGGAGAAGGAAGTAGGAGGTATGACAAAGTGTCATTGTTTTTTTGGAAATTTATAAAACCAGACTGTGATAAGAGAATAGATAATGTCTTCCTTTTAGGATTTTTTTTTAACTAATTAGAAGGTAAGAAGAGGAGTGTGTGCTTATGTATGTTTTCTTCACAGAAATGCAGGCTTATTTAGCATCATGTCTGACAGATTACAGGAAGGGGAAAGAAGGGACCTTACACCCTAGAAAACATCTCCTAAAACAGTTCATAATGCCTACTGTATTTAATTGCTTTCTTTGAAGTCTTTTTTTATTCTAAGGGACCTAGGGAAACTACTAAATATAAGAGTATGATAATAATAATCAAATTTGCTTTAAATTCTCATTATTGTACTAGTTGGAATTTTTGTTGTTGTTATTTTGGAGGGAAGCCATACAGAAAACCTTTATAAATTCTGTGAATTGTGTGTAATTCATTCCTAAAGATAAAAGTGCATCTGCACAGGACACCTTCCGTTTTATATAATTTTATCCATTTTCCCAATTTATTATATAATACAGCTAAGCTTCTCCTGAACAGTAAACTGATTTTCCTCTTCTCTTTCAAAGAACAGCTAGAGGAATCATTTTATTTTACTGTTCATTTTCCTTTGATAATATTGGACTCAAAAGAAAGTATCAAGAAAATACAGTATCTTTAGAGTAAAGAAAACAATGGCATGGTTTACACCATCAGTGTAATTCTGTTGATGGGTATCTGAAGTAGCAAAGAGGTTTTTTTTTTGTTTTTTTTTTTTAAGAGTTGTTTTTATAACATGTCACTTTCTTCATGCACTTTCATGGATTTTCTAATTTCTTTTCTTTTAGCTTTAGAGGGTTTTTTTCCCTTATCATAAAAAGAGGAGGTGAAATCTGAACATGATCTTGTCTTGGTTTTCTTTGTATCCATCTATAGGATGAATATAAACCAGAAAAGGCCCTGTCTGAAGAGGATTTGAAAAACGCCGTGAGTGTGCATCACGCGCTGGCATCCAAGGCTACAGACTATGAGAAGAAGCCGAATGTGCTTAAACTTAAAACTGCTGACTGGAGGGTCTTGCTTTTTCAAGCCCAGTATGTTTCACTGGTTTGGTTTCGTTTCTTAGTTTGCATAGCATCACTTTATACCAAGGCATAGAATCAGAGTCTACAGAGGAAACTGAGTTGGATTCAAAGTCATTAATTGGTTCCCCTAGAGAGACAACTAAGAAAACTAGAATCAAAAATAGAAACTCTGGGTTCCAGTTTTTTGTTAGCTACAAAGTAGCCCTGTGACTTTCAGTCAGCCACTTACACCATATCTAGAACTTAATCTTAATCTAGAACTTAACTTAAGGGTTGTGGTGTACAAATTTTATCACACAATAAGTAAAATAGACCTAAATTCCAACCACCATTTCCTAGCTCTTTGTCCTGACGTGTAATTTAACCTAACCCTGAACCTTAGCTTCTCACAAGGTTCTTGTGAGAATTAAATGAAATCAAGTATATAAGTACTTCCTACAGTGCCTGGGACATAGAAACTGTTCAGTAAGTATAGATTTCCACTTTGGTCCCTCTCTCTCTCTTCTCTCTTCTTCTGAGCTCTAATAGTCTGTGATAAAACTAGAAGAAAAAGATAAACTTATGTTGTGGGCAAGGAAATGGAATAGATTGCCAGTTTAATAAGGGGTCCATGACAACCTTCACATTAGAAGTGGACTCCTTCACATGGAGGATTCTGGATTTGTGAAGTGAGAAACTGAGCTTCTAGAATGGGAATTTTTATAGGACCACATAGCATCAGTGTTAATTCTGTGGCAGTGTTAATTCTTCATGGGATGCTTTCCACAACCTGTACTTGACTTCAGAATCACTCTCAACACAACCCCACCAATTGATCACAGTTGGCACTGGTCTTAAAATTTGACATCAAGATAGTGAGCACAAGTATCTGCATGCTGAGCAAGAAAAGAAATTTTTCAAGAAAAGAAATAAGAACAACAGCAGGTGCTCTGGTGGTTTATGAATGTTGAATTTGCCGAGGTATGAAATTGCTGACATCAGGTGAGGAGGAAGCTGTAAGGAAATCCAAGTTACACAGGATTTTTTTTAGTGTGGGAGTAAGACAGCTTTAACACCACAGAGGGAATCATAGCCAGATGTATAATTACAGCTATTAGTCATCAGAGTCCTTCAAATTATTCTATTCCCCATTTTTTTACTAAAATACCAAATATGATAACCAAAAAGCTCTAATTACTTCAGACAGAATTGAGTCAACAGAGCCAGAGAAATCAGATTAGAGAAGCATATGGGGTGCAAAGAGGAGTTGATTTCTAGAGTGGTCTCTCAGAGTCATCAGGAAATGATTTTATGTGGACTGACGTTTTGTCCATCTTCTGTTTACTGATTATATACATAGTGGATCAACTATCCTGGCTCATGACTATTTCTCCTATTCAATTTATGAATTCACAAATATTTATTAAGTGCTGTCCATGCTGGTCTCTGCAAATATATGACATTCAAGTTAAAAGTATATTAATAACATCAGATGATTTTCACATCCTGTCAGGTAGATTTTTAACATCTGATTAATCTCACCTGGGTTAAGTATACAATTCAATTATTTTTTAGCATATTTACAGAATTGTGCAACCATCACCAAAATCCAGTTTTGGAACACTTCTGTCACCCCAAAGAGATCCTCCATGACCATTTTGTAGTCATTCTCTGTTTTTACCCCATCCCCACACACCACTAATCTCCTTTCTGTCTCTATAGTATTGCCTTTACTGGACTTCTCATATACATGGAACCTTATAATGATATATGTTTGGCTTTCTTCACTTACCACAAAGTTTTGGGGGTTCACCATGTTGTAACATATATCTCCACTTCATGCCTTTAGTGCTGAGCAGTGTTCCACTGTATGGATGTATACCACATTTTTAAAATTCATTCACTAGTTGATAGACATTTAGATTGTTTCCCCTTTTGGACTCTTATGCTTTCAGATACAAATCTTTTTGTGCCTATATGTTTTTATTTCTCTTGGTTATATACTTAGAATTGCTGGGTTATATGATGAACCTATAGTTAACTTTTCAGGAAACTCAAAGCTGCTTTCCAAGTGGGTGTTGCCTTTTTACAGTCCTTTTAAATTCTATCAATTTTTCCCGCAGTTGGATTTTAAAATTGAATTATGTGATTGGAAGAGATGAGTTAATTTTTTAATTTTTGACTGAGCTTAGTATCAAAGTAAGGGGTTAATATTTAATATCAAGTTATTTTGCTTTTTTCCCTCTTTTGTATCCTTGAGGAATAATCACAGTCTTATACTATAATGATCATGGGTTCCAAGGCCTCTTATTTCCATGGTGATTGCTGTTGAAAATGTTAAATCTCAATGAAATTTTGTCAGGAATTAATTATACCAAGAAAAATAAATAAATGATTTTATGTGCCATTTTAAATTGTTAATAAGAAATGGGCTAGGTGTGATGTATTTAAGATAGAGAAATAACCTGATGTAAATTTATCTGTTTCTCATAGGAGTCCAGAGGAAATGCAAGGGTGGATAAACAAAATTAACTGTGTTGCAGCTATATTTTCTGCACCACCATTTCCAGCAGCCATTGGCTCTCAGAAAAAGTTTAGTCGTCCACTTCTGCCTGCTACTACAACAAAATTGTCTCAGGTAAGTCATTTTGATAGTGCTTTGACTTTAGGAAAAAATACTTTATAAAATAATCTTATTAACATTTGATTGGAATAATACTACACATTTTGACAGCAAGGGTAAGCCCTTGCCTCGGAAGGTGTATTGTATAAATGGGGCAAAATGTAGTGTACTGGGTTTTACACTTCGTATTGGAAGCTGACACAACTGAGTCATGGT